ATTTTATCAGAATCAGCAAAAATATTGGTATCATCCCATCACTTTACACAAAACGTTAAAGTGACTATCAAAGAGCACAAGAAAATTGAATGGCTTTTTTAAGCAACTTGCACAAGCTAAATAGTGCTAGATAATGACTGATCTTTGAGTTAGAGAGAGCTCAGATCCAGGATCAAAGAAAATTCACTGTTTTGCATCCTTACAATCTTAGTGACAGGATTTATGAAACAAACAAACAAACAAAACAAAAAAATCTTTCATTCACCTTAATGAATACTACTTATTTTTTACAGAAAAATTTGGCAAGAAAGAGGGGTAAAGTCATCAGTTGTACTTTAGTACTGATTATTACATCACAGTAGATGAAACTATTGTTATAGCTTTTTATTGGCCACTGATTTTACCATGAATCCATCATTTTTCTTTTTTTAGCTTTAGTCATTTTCTGTATTAAAAGAAAAATTGAGTATTTCTGACATAAGGAATAAATGAAAATGATTTTTAAGTGACAAAGTTTGAACCCAAAATTAATTTTACCTAGTTTCTGTACTTAATATCTTATGCATAGAGAGGAAAAAAAAAGGTTAGAAGTTAGGAATCGATTCAAATATTACTGACAGAAGGCAAACCCAGATATGTGAGACAACTAATCCACCCAGTTTGCCTGATGCATTGGAAAGGAACTGATCATGCAAACAAGTTCAGTCAGCCAACACACAATATTTGCATTTGGAAGATTTGTAAACTAAACAGATCACAAATCCAATTAAAAAAAGGTACAGCTGAAGAGTTATTAAATTCTATCTGATAAAAGCAAAGAACAATAAAAAGTTATAGTTTCACAATGTGAATCAAATGTTTCTATGAAATTTATCAATATTATATTAAAGATTCTGAAAACAGAAATAAATAAAACACCTCCTTGAACTTTGCAGTCTTAATTCAAACACCCTTGAGATAAAATTATTTAATATTCATATTTGTAGACATTTTTTGTAAATTTTGTTACCTGGCCATTTTGGCAACAATTGTAGAGAAATTAATTCAATCTTTTAGAAGCAATATGCATTTAAACTTGAGCCACACTAATTTATGTTTAAATTCACCCAACTGACAATCTATAAACAACATTTGGTCACCTTTACTTTACAGTTTACATTGATTTGAAACTTTGTTAAAAAAAACAGAAGCATACTTTGGCCCTTCTCATCTCAATGTTTTAAAGTTTTTGTCCCTTTTCACTTGTTCAAGTTTTTATCAAAATGTTCTTGACCTTAAATTATTTCAAGATAAGAATTATCACTGAAGATATAAATTTTTTTTTAAACACGTGATTAGCGGTTTACAAATTCTAACATAAAATATCAGTTTCTAAGCAGAGAGCAGAAATTAAACCATTTCTACGTAAACTTAAGAGAAATGGAATTTTTTTTTACCTAAAATTGCTATTTCTAAGTGATAAGTGATTTTTTTTTTTTTTTTAATAACATTAAATTTTTCAGGGATTAAGAAATCACGCAAAAGCAGTACTTTATTATTACAATGTTACATTATAAATGTTACATGGTTATCTGATAAACGAATTTATAGTTCTGAAAGAAAAAAAAAAAATTATTGTCATAAGATATGGATAGAAAGGAAGAGTATGATTGGCCAATTTGACAAGGATTGAACAACCTTGTAAGGTTGATACAGAAAATATAACAGGACAGGAAAAATGCTACTCCATTTAAGATAGCAGTGGGGGAACATAAGCTATATAAAAATCCGAAAATAAGTAGTCTTTAATTCTTAAAGAACTAAATCACTACTTTGATATATATATATATATACCAATTATGAAATATTAAAACTTATTGGGAAATTAACAGTCAAGTTTTCAATGTGTTGAGAGAAAACAAAAAATGAGCTTAAAATGAATAAAATATTTTGTTTCAAGAGTAAGAATTTTGAAAGAAGAGCTTGCTTGTCTATATTTCAAAATCATAAATTAAAGTGAAGTGTAAAAATTGAATAATAGCATGACATCAGCACTTACTGTTGCAACATTATGATAATGAGATGAAAATGGTCGATTAGAGTTTAGCTTACATAACAGTAACATCTTAAAGTGTAGAGTGTATAATATTTAATAACAAGAGACAAGGTAATTTTTGTACTTAATATAGAAACCAACATGGTTGTTTGTAAATTAAGGTGAAGGACACGTAGTATGACCTTGATGACGCAACAGAAACTGTCGCCAAGATTGAGGCAGTAGTTAGTGAAGGTGAAGGCTGCTGTAAGCATCAAGGTCAACCAAGAGGGGTGGGGGACGGAGGGAGAAAGTATTCTCTCACAATACATAGTACTAGAGAGAAAGAAATCTAGGTTCAGCACTGTTAGTCATTGTCTTACCAAGCAGATACAGGTTTGTCTCCCACCCTCTCTCTCTAATCGTGGAAATATTTAGTAACATTAAGCTAGGGTTTTTTTTTTGTAATAGTAGTAGTCACGTAACAAAAATCAATTTTGCTGGGGATTTGTGGATTGAAAGAAACTTTTTTTTTAATTTAATACTCTTTATTTTTTACCTACCACATTCCATAATAAAGAAGAAGAGTATGCTATGCAGATCTATTTTGGCAGACAATATAGCCAATATTTTTTCACTCAGCTGTTTTTTGTTTTTTTTTGTGTGATTTTTACAACCAGCTGTTTGTTTTTATGGTTCAATAATTTTCTAGCAATTTGAAGTTTCATCTCAGTTAAGTTAGCAATTAAATTTTACAACTTTCCTTGCTCTTAAAGTTTTCTTCACAAATAAAAATTGACAATTTGCTTCCTTATCATTTTTTTCCCTACAAAACCGTGTCTTTCATTGCGGGAAAAATTACACTGAATTAGTTTTTACTTTTTATGTAAAATATTAACTTTAAAATAACAGCAAATTGTAATTATAACTTTTGATGAATAATTTTAAGATTAAATGAATTTTGACAACAGACTTCAAAATTAAATTTAAATCACTCGATCAAAACAAAAATCGATTGCGTCAAACAGAAACGGAAGACATTTCTATTATTGCAGCTGATTTTCAAATATTTTCATCTAATTTATTTACTTTAAAAAGTTGACCACTGATACGAAGAAAATAGAAAAGAACACTTTGCCATGTTTAGCCATATTAACTCTCTACACGAGTCTACAAAATTAGAACAGGAGACAACCATTTTTTTTTTTTTAACTGGACAAAATCCAGATGACAAGGATTAAATGTAAATTCTGAAGTCATTAAAAAAGAAAATATAAAGCTTCTGCTTATAATCAACAAAAACTCAAAAATTAAAGGAGTTTGAAAATCTTAACGACGACTTGATTTTTTTTTGTCACACCGACTGTCTTGTGAATAAAAAATCTAAATGAAGAAAAAAAAAAAAAAAAAAAAAATTTAAAGTCTAAATTCAAAATAAACTAAAAAGGTAAAGGGATTGACAACGTTGTTTGTTTTACTTTTAAATAATTAAAAAAAAAAAAGAAAAAAAAAGTTTTCCTGTATGTGATCTTTTCGTTTGTACTGATCACAAAAATAAAATAAATTTGAATGGTAGAAATGAGTAATTATTGATAAAACAATGAAAAGAGAGAAGTAATTTTTAAAACGGTTGTTTGGCACATAAACATATATAGGGGTCATGATGCATTATGTCATGTACTGTCACTGGCTGGCTGCAGTTATGACAATTCATGAACTATGACTACACAAGGAAAGGGTGATCACTTTTTTTTTTTTAAGCAAAAACTGATTTTTTTTTTTTTTACTTTGTTTTAAATTAAAATCAACATTCAACAACAATATCAGTTTTTAAAATTTTGCACCAATAATCAGTTTTTCGAATTTGTGTGTTTACGAAGGAAAATGTCTTAGAAATTCTCTTGAGTGCGTGCAGCATTAGCCATAATTTAGTGTTGAAACAGTGAACAAGATTGTCCTTTCTTTTTGTTTAAGAAGACAAACAAAGGAAAGATCTTGCGATCATAACTAGTGGGTGGGAGAATAAACTAAAAAGACTTGAGTAAAAATAAATTATTGAACTCATTAAAAAAGTTTTTTTCTTGTTACTTTTACAAAAACATTTGAAACTAGAAAACAAAAATAGACATCGCAAAAACAAACGAAAAATATAAAAATAAATTTAATTTTAAATTAATTATACCCCCAAGCATTTTAGTTCAGCAGATAAAGCCATCCATTAATTTTAAACTGATGAATTTATAAAATTAAGTGACAAGATGATATCTTACGTGATAGTAAAAAGTAAACGAATAGTAAATAAGAAAAAATATACTGACATTATTTTTGCAGTAATACTCGTATAGTTATATAGTTTCGTATAGACGACGACAGATCGAAGGTAATTTCTGTACATTCAATTGAAATATTAGATCCGCAGTAATAAGAATATATTCTTTTGTACGTAAAAAGAATATAAAAAATATTATTCAATATATAAACAATAAAAACAAAATATGTTATAGTTTTTAAAATAAAATGTAATTCTGGTTTGGTATGTTGTAATAAAACTTGACACAAAGACAAAAAAAAAAGTTGATCGTCATACACTCACAATACTAGTAATTACTTCCAAATTAAAAAGATTCCTAGAGAACATAGCCTGATATTTTATATATATATATAAATAAAAAGTAAGTGTTTTCTTCAAAATTAAATACAGACGGAATACTTTAAAAAAAAAAAAAAAAAAATAATAATTACAAGACTTTCAATTTCTTTAAGCTAAGCGATCGGGTCAACTGAAGGACGCCATGTCAAGGACAAACGTTAACTGTCAAGGTCGTGCTTAATTTTTAACAACCAAACCGACGATTTTATATCGATAAAAAGAAAGCAAAAACAATTTTTTACGATAATCATGAAGGAGCTTAAATTGTCCAGGCAAGACATAATCCCATAAATTTCATTCGGAAAGATGAAAGTAAATATTTGAAAATATATTTACCGGCAACAGTCCTTAAATTGTGGGCTGGAGACGATGTTCGTGCCTGAAGTGGAGAAGAACGCGCAGAGATGGTATTATATATAACCGAGTGAAGTTCACGTGTAATCCATATAAGGAAACAACACGAGGCAACGAGAATTGAACTCATATTTTGATCGTTAATACAATGAAAAAAGACGAACATGATATTAGGATAGAAAACGATGTAAATTAAAATAAAATTACGGTTCATATGATTTAATTAAATTTTCTTGAACGTAAATAAAGATCGTACCAAACTCAGAAACGATTAGACTTCGGTATTGTACGGTAATTTCCGTAAGATCATCAGGCTTAGTGGTAAACATGGAAGTAGGTGTATACTGTTATCATCAGTAAAGGCAATAAAAAGTTTGAAAAGCATTATTGTATATGTCATGGTGATCTGCAGACATTTAGACCAACTTTATTGACTTTATTACTGCTGAAACTATACCCAAATATAACAATGAGGCCTGTCATCGACTTCAGAGAATGTTTAAAGGACTCCCCACATTTCAGGTTAGTGAATTTTCGGCTATGTCGGTCCATCAATGGCTATAAAATGAATGATCAATTTATGTAAGGTTCACTGTTTGGAACCGAACCCCTATTTTGTGACCGCCACATATGTCGTTTTTTTTTTATTTTTAATTTGAAATTATTATTGCAAATACACAAACAATCATGGTGATGTTTATAATAACGATAATAAAACTTGTCATTATTTTCATAATGATAGTCAGTCTGTCTTGTACTGTTATTTTTATTGTTTACTAAAATAGAAAAAATGTTTTCCTTTCATTTACGTTATTGACCAACTGGTCCAACAACATTTATTTTCTTTCTTTATACTATCTTTTTTTTTTTAACTTCTCAAAGTATACATTTAAAAAAAATAACATCACCTATGAAGACTTTTAAAGCAAACCCTTGAACAGCTGTTTTTATATACCATGTTTCATAAACTATAATTTAAATCATTTTTTAGTTGCTATCATAGCATTTTTTTAGTCTTTTTCATTTGAGATCTTAAGAAAAAAAATATTAAAGTATCATCTAATTTTTAATACATAAGGTAGGGAAATTATTTTTTTTTAAATTGTCATTTTAGTAATTTCTTTGCATGACATCAGTACGTTTTACGATATTGTGGGTCTCATGATCCCACCCGCTTTTTCCTTTGCCTGTAAAATTTTACAGATTGCTTTTCTGTCTTCTTTTTTTTTTTTTTTTTTTTCTTTTTTTTTTAAATGCAAGAATTTTCTCATGAATCTAAACAAAACATACTTTTATTATTTATTTCCTAAAGGGAAAGTTAATCGCAATATGAAACTTAAAATATAAAAAAAAATATCACTTTGCTTTTAAAATCGAATATAAAGTTTAAAATCCACTGTGTAGTAACCAGAATCTGAAGGTCTGGATGTTTTGTTGTTTTTCATGGTTCATTTGTCATTTGTTGAGATTGATCTCTAAAATTCAAGTACCTGATAACCAGTTGCTCATGCAACATTTTTGTCAATTTAAAATATATTTTTTTTGTCTATCTTAATAAACATTTTAATCACAAAACTTTCTTTTGTTAAGTTTGGAGCTTTTTTTTCATCATGCTATGCTCTTTTTTTTACGCGACCAAGTTGAGGTACCTAAATGTATAAAACTAGAGAAGTATTAAAAAAAAAACAAACAAAAAACAAAGTTTAACAAAAATTACCAAAACTTTTCCCCCTTGGATAAAAAAGTGATTGTCTAAAAACAACTTTAAGCATGTAAACGTAAAAAAAACAAACAATTTGTTTAATTTTGTTTAAAACGGAAATAAATGTGTATGTAAATTTTTCTTACTTATTGCTGGTTAAGTTTATTTTTGCTTTAGTTTTTTTTTTTATGTAAAAAGTTATAGTAGTCGTCGCCATTTTGTGCATATACGTTTTTTAAAAAGTTAAACTGCATCCCGCAAAATAAAAAAGAAAGAAACCAAATTAAAAATATGTATATGTGTATAATAAGTATAAAAATAAAATCTGAGGACTTTGCGTCAGTGCTTGGGGGAGTTGGGGGAAAGCCTCGTCGGGACGACTGTTTTTTTTTTTTCTCTCTCTAAAGAAGTTTCATTATTAGCACTCCTCTTTCTTTTCCGCTTTCAAGATCATTACATTGCGTTGAATGGATATTATATATATATATATATATATATATAATGTGTGTGTGTGTATAGGTACAATACGAAAAAGTTCACATTATCTTTGTTTTTAATGAAAATGTTTCTCTAACGCTTTTTTTTCTATTTAAAAACTAAAGGTCATGATTGATAAAGGCTAAAAACCATAATTGACAGCTAGTGAGTAAAAAAAAAAAAAGTACAATTAAATTAAATACACTTAGTTACTAAGTACACTGTGTAAATGAACAACTAGTTCTCTAAACTAATAAAACTGATTTAAAACGATTCTTAGCGTTGAGATATGATACATATAAGTGGGTAATGAAAAGTTCTCGGTCTGACCAGTAAGGATAAAAAAGAAAAGTTCCGTTCAGATTTTGGGGAAAGTAGCTCAAGCCGAAAACTTTTCAGCAACAACTTGCTTATAAAAAATAAATAAAATGAAAAAAGTTAAATAGTTATTTGATTATTTGTTTAAATTATGGCTTTTTTATTAGCAACTTAGTATTTTTAGTAATTTTATTTTTAGTCATAAAATTTTTTTCAAGTGCTGAAGTTAGAAACAAAATAATAATCATTATAAAAAACAAAACTCTGGAATAAGTTTGTTTTTTGAGTGTGACAGTGTCTTACTCTTTAATGAAAAATATTTCATGATTTTCAAAAAAATTGAATAAGTCCCAAATAAAAGATATTTAAAAATTAATTTGCTAATACTAGGAAAAAAAAAAAGAAATATTACAATCTGTTTTTTTTTTTTAAACAAATTTTATTCATCAGTATTTATTTACCTTTCTGCCCCCCCCCCCCAACAACTAAAAACAAACACTTGTTTGTGTTACGGCGTGTGTGGACGCATGCGAGTATTTCAACCAACATCATACATTTGATACTCGCCGATATTTAAAAATTTCAAAAAAAATTTTTTTTTGCTGTGTAAACTTAATTTGATTGAATTATATTTAATTGAAACTCAAGTTGTTTAATAAAATAAAAATAATCAAATATATTGGAAAAGATTATTAAAATATATCCCATGTAAAACTGTGAGGGGTTATGTAACAACAAGGAGCAGCAGATACGACACAGGAAACACAGGTCAAGAATCATAAAAAGTTTATTACAAAAAAATATGTTATAAGTTATGCCTGGCATACAAATATTAGTGCATTGTATGCTGAAAATATGAAATTTTTGGTTAATAAGATATGAAATGAGGAGAAAAGATTACATTCATGCACATTAAAAAAAACAAATTTCCTTTCCATTACAAATAACTACACAAGAAGAGTGACAATGTGTCCTGAAGGTAGAAATTTTCAACTCCCTTGTAAATTTTTCAATTCTTCAAGTAGGCCTTGCAGGGTCCATATGATGACCCCCTTTAAAAAAGTGATTTGCTGGTGGTGATTTCAGACTTAACCGGGATATTCCCAGAAGGGCTGTATGTTGATATACTAATAGAGTTGCAATGTCATTAACATTAATGATTCTTGTAGGCATACTGCCAAAAATATCAGAGGGTTCAAGAGACTGCTGATAGACTGAGAAAATCACAACGTCAGCAGAATTTCTTGACTAGAAGCTATGAGTCATATTTTTCAAAACCTGGAAATTCCACCAAGGTAATACAACTTCAAATTAATAAAAAAAAATCTTTGTTTTTAAAATATATAGGTTTAAAGATCTTTATGGAAGACAGTTTTTCACTAGACTAAGTTACTGAAAGCAGAAATTGTTTAAAGTTTGCCATATTAATGGAAGAAGAGTGCTCAATATTGGAAATTGAGCATTTATATATATATATATATATATATATATATATATATATATATATATATATATATATATATTTCTTTTTTTAATTATTTCACTCCAAGCAAGGCAACAAAGCCACTAAGATACAAGGGGTTGCCAAGTATGAGAGAATATGAGAAAAAGAAAACATTAAGGAGAGAGAAGAATAGAAGAACAAGACAAAGATAATTGACATTGCATTTAAATTTTTGAAGATCAAAGCTGACTGGAAAGCAGGAAACTAGAAGAGATTTTGACAAGCAAGAATTACAAGAAAAAAAACTGTTAGGATAGAACTTAGTTACATCTATTTCAAATGTATTAGACCTTGTCACCAATCTAGTACTGCACTTAAATAAATAAAGTCTAGTTACCAAAGAGGAAAACTCATCAGAACAATTACTATGAAAGTATTTATAGAAAAGGCACAAGGAAGTTACATCATGGTGGTGGGAAAGTGACTTATGTTGAGATGCCAGGTCAAGATCAATAACATTGTGGATTCTTTTTTGGATTTTATCAATAATCTCTAAATACATGGCAGAAGCACCAGACCAGATGTGACAGCAATATTTAATGCAAGGATGGATGGTAGACTTGTAAATGTGCAAGATAGATTCCGGTGAGAAAAATTGTCTAGCAATTTTACATATGTAATAAAAAAGAAAAATTAAAAATGCAACTTGGTTATTTTTCATTTTCAAGAATGCTATAAAAACTTTTTTGCTTTTGCTATACTTTTCAGATCACCTCTATTGATTTGCCTTTTGCATTTTACCCTGATTATTGGGAGGAGCAAAGCATTATAAAGATTTTGGTGACTGGATTATTGGTTATGGCAAATGTATTTCAATCTTGTCAAAAGTTTAAACTTGAAGAACACAGATAAAAATTTCCATCCCAAGAGAATCATTAGTGGATCTATTCACAGTAAGGTAACTTGTAAAACTAGGGTCTGTGTTTTTTTTGTTTTTTTTTCTCTGTGTAATGTATAAATAGCCATGCCTAATCTTTTTGCATTCACTTTTTGCACAAATGCCTTTTGGGAAAGGCATGAATCCATCTCTCCCCTTCCAAGGCTAAATTTTCCTCTCCATCCTTGACTAGACAACTAATCTAGGAAAAGGACAAGTCTGAATTCAAAAGCATGGAAAAGGAAACTAGAAATCACTATCTATTCCAAGAAGTCATGGTAATTCACAAGTAATAAAGGAAGTTATGGAGAGCTATTGCCCTCTGTATTTTAACATTAAAAAAAGTCACACACTATGGATATGTATAACCAAAGATCTTTATATTTTGTTTCCTCTTAATTCTAATATCTTCTCATTCTCTTTTGCTCCCAGTAAACCCTTGCACCTTAGT